ATTCTCTGCCTCCCATTGAGTCCCAGCTGATTGGTTGGGTTGCTGCCATGCCCACCAAGCCAAACCCATCAAGCAATTCCACACCCACCAAGCCACGCCCACAGAACTGGTAGTAAAAAAATTTGAATCCCACCACTGGTGCAATCTATTTTTGAATACCTCCAGTGATGGAGCATTCACAACTCCTGGAGCCAAGCTATTGCATTAATTAATTGTACTCACTGTCAGAAAATTTCTCCTTATTTCTAGGTTGACTTTCTCTTTAAAAAGCTCCCACTCATTACTTCCAGGGGTGGGTTTCTACCGGTTCTGTCCACCTCTGTAGAACTGGTAGCTCTGAAGAGCAGCAGACATAGAACCGGTTCTATGTCTGCTGATGTTTTTGCCCATCCGCCCACCCGGGCTCTGATCTTTATTTCCTGATTTTTCAACTTCAGCTGCCGAACGAGGCATAGCTGCAGTTAGAAAAGCAGGAAAAGAGGGTTGTTTCAAAGGCTGCGTCTCTGCACACAGCATGCTGATGACGATTTACAGGCGCGCGGCTCACAGCGTGCAGGCAAGCTCGTAAATCCCGAACTGGTAGTTAACCCTGTCGTATCCCACCCGTGATTACTTCTTGTCCTTTTTGAAGCCCTGCCTTTACTTTAAATCTCTAGTGACTCCAGTCTAGTCAGGCCTGAGGAGATGGGAGGTTCAGCCAGTACATTGTTCCGGGGCCCATGGAGCTCAAAGGGGGCCCATGAAGGGGAACATTTTTTAAAAAATGTTTTACAAAACCAGTTTTTAAAAAAGAAAAATAGCAGGATGGTGTGTCAACCTGGACGTGCCTAGGTGGGGGTGGGGTGGGGATGGCTTGGAGCAAAACACTCCAAAGCTGGATCAAATCAACTCATCAGCGGGCAAGCGGCAAGGAAGGAAGGCGTGCCCTTCCTGCGCAGCAGTGGCAGCAATGATTGCCCCCCCTCCACCTTCTCTGTCTTTCTCCCCTTCTCCCCAATTCTTAAAGAATAAACTTCCACTTCTCACCCTGTCGAAATCCTTCACGCCGAAAGGAAGGAGAAGAAAAAAGTACAGAGAAGAGCAACCAGGATGATTAGGGGACTGGAGACTAAAACATACGAAGAACAGTTACAGGAACCGGGCCAGGCTAGTCTAGTGAAGAGAAGGACCAGGGGTGACAGGATAGCTGTCTTCCAATATTTGAGGGGCTGCCACAGAGTGGAGGCAGTCAAGCTATTTTCCAAGGCACCCGAAGGCCAGGCAAGGAATAATGGATGGAAACTGAACAAGGAGAGATTTAACCTGGAAATAAGGAGAAACTTTCTGACAGTGAGAACAATCAACCCATGGAACAGAAGTTGCCCTCAGAAATTGTAGGAGTGCCATCACTTGAGATCTTCAAGAAGAGATTGGACTGCCGTCTGTCAGAAATGGTGTGGGGTCTCCCGCTTGGGTGGGGGGTTGGACTAGATGACCTACAAGGTCCCTTCCAACTCTGATTGTCTGTTCTCTGTTAAGGAGGTGCCACTGTAAGCTTAGTCGGAGGATCTGTGCATGTCAGCCATGCCAAAGGGCAACTGGCAAGAGAGGTGGCTTTAAAACGCAGGAGGATAAACCGGAGGAGGAAAGGTGGGGTGGGCGAGGGAAGTGTCACTTTTCTTTCATTCGCACACACTAGAGTGTTCTTCTCCAAGTTGGAAAAAAAATCTATTTGTGGGCTTTGCGGACTCCAACTCCGCTTCTCCGTACTTTGTCCTCACCCACCCACCACTCCGCTTCCCAATCTTCTTCGCTGCCCTGACAGCCCCTCTCTTTTTTTTAATGAGCCTCATGTTGGTTAGGAGTTAGGGCGGTGCAGGGAGTAACGCGAAATCCACAGGGTGGTGGGGAGTGGGAGGGGAGATGTTTTTATGAGAGTCATGCTAACTTAATGTGTAGGTGAGGGGGCCCATATTAGTCTTGTTCCAGCACTTAATAATCCTCTCAGCAGCGCTGAGTCTAGTCCTTTAAATTGTGAAAATATAATAAGAAGCCAATGTACCACTCAATTGCTCTCTTAAGAACCTCCTTGCTTCCACCTTCCAGTTCTCTAACTAAAGTGGAGCAAAGGTTCTGGTAGCACAGATAAACACTGTCATTTCCTTTAAAAAAAAAAAAAAGTTTAAAATCCATTCTAACTCTCATTCAATTATTGTGTCAGCTGCTACTGTGAAGATTTTTAAATACATGTTTTAAAAATTGGAGAATACTCTCATAATTTACAGCTTTCTCTACTCTTTTCCCCCTATGAATCTTATTTAAATGCCCTTAACACGTGCACACACTTTTATATGTTATATATTTAGCATATATAGAAGTTCAGCAGAGGAGACAATAAAACAGTAGAAAATCTGAAAACCCATATGCTTCAAAATGAATGGAGTTTTATACGCAATTTTACTTAATGCCTGATTTTTGTGGTGCCTACTATTAACATATGCTTTTAGAAAATCCAAGGTATTCGAATACGTCTTTTCTTAAAATAGAGGCATCCAAATTGTGATATGGCTGTTGCAAATATATACTGGGGAAATGAGAATTTTGAAGCACAGAAGCATGGATATTAGTGCACTATAGAATTCAGAATTACAGAGTTGGATGGCTGCCCTCAAGTGCTTTGGAGAATAGTTCAACCACCTTCTCTCTGTGATAGCACTTCAAATTTTGGAAGACTGTTATCATGTTATCCCTAGTTCTTCTCTTTGTTAGACTAGACATACCCAATTCCCTCAATCGTTTATCATATGCTTTAGCCTCCAGCCCCCTAATCATTTTTGTTGCTATTCTCTGCATTCTATCTAGAGTCTCAACATTTTTGTGTGTGTGTATAATGGTAACAAAAATGGGATGATTCACTGGAACCTATTCAAGCTGTCTAAGAATCCAATAAAAGAGGTGTGGTGGCACAATGGTTAAAATGCAGTATTGCAGGCTGACTCAGCTCATTGCCAGGAGTTTGATCCTGACCAGGTCAAGGTTGACTCAGCTTTCCATCCTTCCAAGGTTGGTAAAATGAGGATCCAGATTCTTGGAGGCAATAGACTGACTCTGTAAACCACTTAGAGCTATAAAGCACTATGAAGCATTATATGAATCTAAGTGCTATTGCTAAAAGTAATGTGCTAATTTGCTTCCACTAACATCAATGTTATTCTTTTTTTAAAAAAAAAAACAGAACTATGCTTCTTCAAAATCAACAGGTTCATTGGCCACCATGATTCCCCTTCTTCCAAGTGTACCAAATGAGGAAAGCACATCAGATCATATGAAATGATGTATCTCTTTGATAGGCTGGAAGGAGCTCTACTGCTAACCCTTGTTCTAGAGCACTGATGTCAAACTCAATTGCATCACATGATGTCACGTGACGTATTATGACTTTTTTTTTTTGCCTTTGCGAGCATGTGATGCATCCAGCCTGCAGGCTGCTCTTCTAGACACCTGACAGCTGTGGAATCAGGATTCCTCGCTGCCACATAGCTGCAGAAAGTGGGAGCGGGGTGATGAATTAACTCTTAGTAGACAAAATATAATTCTTTTGATAATTCAAGGTTAAAGAGTGTGGCACAGAAAGAATTAGAACCTACTTTGGGATTGGTTTATGTGATGTGATGATGAGGGGAAAGGGGATGGTTTATAGGGGAAGCCGGGAAAACTTTTAGGTTCGGAATTCCACAGAATGTGCCAGGTGCTATTCTAATAAAAGTACTTTGAGATTATGTTTGACTTGGAGTTACTGACAGGAATGGGTTTTCCCTGGAACGCTGACAACATCCCCATTCTAGAGCAAAGTTTCCCAACTCATTGCAACTTCCAGATGTTCAGAATTCAGCAGTCAGAATGTTTAGTAATGATCATTCTGGCTGGGGTATTTGGGATTTGAAGTCCACACATCTGGAATTTGCCAAGGCTGGAAAACACTGTTCTAAATCCATACCACTGAAGTTCTTACATTATATCTATCGTAGCCCAAATAGAAGAAACCATTATCAAAAAACAAACAATTCTCAACTAATGGGGTCTTGAAACTATGAAATCAGGATAGAACATGGCTAGGTAATTCACATGATATATTTGATCTGTTTGCTGAATTAACCAATTCTGAAGGGTTATTTAGCACAGCGAATGACAAAGCAAGGTGTCTTAGGTTCATAACAATGTGTGAAGCCCCAAAATAACTAAGCAACATTAAAACAAGTTTAGCAGGTTGTGCAAATACAGCTTGCCTCTTTGGAAATGACCTCTTAAGCATGTTGTGTGAACATAGCGCATTATGTCAGAAGGAATCTAGTTCTCACCGGGAACCAGGTGAACTAAGTTGTCAAACACAAAATAAGATAGAGAAGGCAGATACAGCAATAATGAATTACTTGGTCTGCAGTTAAAATCTGCTGTGCCAGATAAATCATATCTATTAAATAAGTGCTGCAGTGACATGATTTCAGCAGCTCCCATTTTAATGAATTTATTTGTCTCATTTTTATCTTCCTTCTTGATCTCTTTTTCTTTCTCTATTTGCAAGTAATTGGAAGAGTCCAGAGAACATTTTTCACTATGATAAAACAGGATGAGAAAAGGCTCATTCCGTAGCTTCAATCGATAAATGTAGAGTAAAAGTCAAATCAAAAGACCTAATTGGCCTTCAGGATTGTAGGAGCAGGGGAGAAATTGAAGACAAAAAAGTCTTTTTTGAAAGAAGGAATGGTTTCCAGACTCAAATTACCTTTTTAAAAATATACCATCATTCCAAAGATAACATTGTGGGGGACAATGAGACTGATATACTTCAATTAAGCTTCCCTATTATAAAAACAGCCCTGTCCATGTCTATGAGGTAGGTCTTTGTACCTCATAAAACTAGTCAAATGTGATTTTAGGTCAGAAAACTGTGGTCTATCTCAAAATTGTCTCTGTACGTTTGAGCCTTAGGCTTCCAAAATGACAATAGAGGCCCAGTTTACAATCTTGCTCTGTAGGTCTTTCATCAGGATGGAGTTACCAAGAATCTTTTTTTTTTAAATAATGAACCTATTACTGTAGAATTTCCTTGCCTAGAAGGAGCACTTGACTTTCTCTCTTGCTATTCTGAGGTGGAACTTATTTGCTTGAATTTGCTATTCCTTCTCTTAGAGTTTTAACTTCCACAATTAGATATATCTGGCAAAATATTTTCAGTATATGTCATTGTTTTCACGCATATGACTATGAAATAAATTGAGCTTTTGGAAATATGTATAAAAATGTACCAAAAGAAAAGAACATCATAGCAATAACAGCATTTAGACTTATATACCTCTTCACAGTGCTTTGCAGCCCTCGCTAAGCAGTTTTACAGAGTCAGCCTATCACCCCCAATAATCTGGGTCCTCATTTTACCCACATGGGAAGGAGGGAAGGCTGAGTCAACCTTGAGCCTGGTGAGATTTGAACTGCCAAATTGCAGGCAGATGGCAGTCAGCAGAAGTGGCCTGCAATACTGCATTCCAACCACTGCACCATTGAGGCTCATGTTGACGTACTTTATAATGGTATGTGGAAATATAGATAAGAGGAAGAGTTGCAGATAAGACAATTTGCATATATAGGTAGTCCTCAACTAGCAACCACAATTGAGTCCAACATTTATGTTGCTAAGTGAAACATTTGTTAAGTGAATTTTGCCCCATTTTTTAAATTTCTTTTTTATTTATTTTTTTAACTTTTTTTAAAAATAAAGTTTTTTGTTTTTAAACACAAACATACACATACAAAAACATAAAAACATAAAATCCTCTTCCATTTTATATACATACAGTGTGTCAGTTGGTTACGTATCTTTTGTGCTATACTTTTGTAGTCATTTACTTACAATTTATATCAGTCTTCACATTGTCAAACTAACTTATGTTGATATATTTATTAGTTATTAATCATCCATGACTAAACTATTTATTCCATCGTTTTATACGAGATGTTCCAAGTTTTATCTTAAAATTTGTGTTATACTTTCAACCAGTGGTTATATAAATCTATATTATGTTTTATATCAGATTTCTATCACAAAATTATCTAATCTATTATATTACCATGCCTTTTTATCCAACCATTGATAAAACAAATCCCATATCATATAAAATTGCTTATCTTCTTGTTCTCTAATTTCAATGTCAGTTTACTCATTTCAGCACAGTCCATAATTTTTTGATAACTTCCTCCTGCATAGGTATTTTGTCATTTTTCCAGTTCTTCGCAAATACAAGTCTAGCCGCTGTTAAAACATTTACAATCAAATATTTCAGTTCTTTATTGTATATGTCCGGTATGACTCCCAATAAAAAGATCTCTGGTTTAAAGTCTATATGTTGTTTTATCATTTTTTCCAACCATGTGTGGATTTTAGTCCAATATTTCTTTGCATCTGAACATGTCCACCACATATGGTAATATGAACCAGGTATCTGATGACATTTCCAGCATTTATCCGATTTATTCTTAAACATTCTCGCAAGTCTTGTCGGGGATAGGTGCCACCTGTAAAACATCTTATACAAATTTTCTTTAAATGCAGTTGACATTGTTATTTTATAATTTTGAGACCACATTTTTTGCCATTTTCCCAAATCAATCACATATCCAAAATTTCCCCCCCAAGCAATCATCGTTTCTTTAACTTGCTCCTCCTCCAATTTAAATTCTAACAGATGTCCATAAAGTTTTTTAATTATCTTTTCATCAGTACCCATAAAAATTTTATCTGTCAGTCAACTTATCATAAATACTTTCTGCCTTGGAGTCTTTATCAAACCTAGATTGTATTTGCAAATAAGAAAACCAATTCATTTTTACACCTTGTTCTTCCAACATTTGCATAGATTTAAGTTCACCCTTTTCATTCAATAACTCCCCATATCTAACTGTTTGTTCCTTTTTATATATTATTGGATAAGAAAAAGCTTCAATAGTTGATATCCATGTTGGAATTTTTAAATAATATTGTCTTTTTATCTTCTCCCAGATCAAAAACACTGTCTCACGAATATGTCTTCTAAAATACCCCTGTGTTTTAGTTCCCTTATACCAGAGAAAGGCATGCCATCCCAGCAGCAAGTCATGGCCTTCTAAAGTCAATAATCTACTGTTCCTTAGTGTTATCCATTCCTTTACCCACATCAAATTTGTCGCCTGGTAATACAGCTCCCAATTGGACAAGGCAAACTCTCCTCTTATTCTTGCATCTTGTAACAGCTTTAATTTTTTTCTTGCTTTTTTACCCTGCCAAATATATTTCAACACAATTCTATTTAAATCTTCAAAAAACTCTTTCCCTAATTGAATAGGAATTGTCTGGAATAAATATAAAACTCTGGGCAATATATTCATCTTAATTGTGGATATTCTCCCAATCAATGATAGTTGCAATTTTTCCCTTTTCATCAAGTCTGTCGTAATCTGCTGTTTGAGTTTAACATAGTTATCTTCCTTCAGGGTACTGCATCTTGGTGTAATATAAATCCCTAAGTATTTAACCTTGTTTGTGACCTGTATTTTTAAAGTTTCTTCCAACTCTTTCTTTCGTCTTGTTAACATATTCTTTGTTAATATCTTTGTTTCGTCTTTATTTATTCTCAAACCTGCTACTTTTCCATATTCTTCTATTTTTTTCTATTAATTTGGGTGCTGTTTCCATTGGGTCTTCTAATATAAATACCAGGTCATCTCCTGGAAGTTTGGGAAGGCCGGAAATCAGCTCATTTCCGGCTTCCAGAGAGCCTCTGGAACCCAGGAAGGCCATTTTTGCCCTCCCGGAGGCTCAAAAACCCCTCCCCTCCACCATAGTGCAGGAGGCCAACTAGGCCACGCCGACCATGGCCACGCCCGCCCAGCAACCAGGCAGAGAACCCCTTGCTAAAATTTTTGAAGCCCACCCCTGAGTAGGAGCATTGCATATTTCCAAGAGAGTCCATAACTACAGAGGTGATCCCAAACTCAATCACTTCACCCATTACCTTGAGCTTCCACTTGCAGCATCAGAGGAACCTTCACTGCATTTTTCCTCAACTCCCACTGCGAGGGGGAAGAATAAGGAGTAAATCTCCATTGAATGCCAGCAAGGAATTAAGAGAGGAATGAATGAATGTAGTAGGATGAAGTGGGTCACCTCTAACAATACCATGGCATTGGTTTTTGCAAAATAATTAGTACACAATCCTGAGGGGGCCATATTTTCCATCAATCACACCATGAGGGTGGGATGATTTTCTGCATCATTTTAAAGCTGGAGCCCGGTGCATTTGGATCAATCACTAAAAATGCAAAGCTCTCTCTTCATTAAGCAGCACCAATCCATCTACCTCTTCCCACACACAGAGGTCTAAAGTGCCACAATATCCCTTTGGGATTCTAATTCCCAAATAACATCTTAAGAGTTCACCTTAGTTAACCTCATTCTGCACCATTCTCACCAAGTAGGCAAAATCAGAAGCAAGACAGAGATGGAAAGATTAGAAGAGGTGGAAGACTTTGTTCAAACCGTGCACTAGAAGATTACGCCTGGGTGCAGCACTTTTTAACTGAAAAGCATGGATCAGTATAATCTCAATTATTTTACTACACACACACACACACAATTAAAAGTCTTGCTGAAACATCCCTTAACATATGGAGCTTTTGTACATAGGTTTCTCTAGCATATTGTTCACATAAATCTCTCCTGCAAATATATTTCTACAGTAAATCTCTCAAACATCTGGGACCATCAAGAAGTTGACAGGTAGGTTGTAAGGCAAGGTAAGTTTAGTTCAATGTCTGCTGATCTGGGCTTGTCAAGATTTGTTTTCAATTATAGCGTGTATGGGTTCATTGTAGTTTTGAGCTATTTAGACACTGAAAGAGTTAAAAAAAAAAAAAACCTCATTAACCTGCCAGTCCAGGTCATGGACAGAAAAAAAGAAAAAAGAAACCACCCCAAACCCCAGAAAATCAAACCCTCAGGAGCCAATCAGGAGATTCAGTTTCCTCTTTTAGGTGGGTTGTTTTTTTTACAAGCAGGGAGGGTGGTTTTCACTCTGTGTGGTTTTCTGGAGTTTGTTTTCTCTTCTTGGAGATTGGACAGAAGCCAAGGTAAGACCAAAACTTTATCAGTTGTGTGCTTTTGAGTCAAGTAAGATGGAGACCATAAAGCTGGTTGAATGACAGTTTGTTTTACTTTAGGGATTGAAAACTGGGCTGTGTGGGTTTGTTACAGTGTGTTTTTATTAGAGATTCTGGGCTGCTCAGTTGAGGGGACAGCTGAATGTGATTATTTTCTTCAGATAGTAATTGTGCAATTCTTCTCCTTTCTTTCCCAACTTTCTGTTAGGAATCTGATTTTGCCTCTAGCTACCTCCTTGCCTCAGAATGAGCATTGCTGGTTCATTAAGATCTAGAATTCTTAATAAACCAGAGATGTACATTTTGGTGTAGGGAGGTAAACTTTAGCCCAACGTTTCTCAACTATAGCAACTTGAAGTTGTGTGGATTTCAACTCCCAGAATTCCCCAGTCAGCATACCAGCTAAGGAACACTGGGAATTAAAGCAGGGATGGAATTCTACCGGTTTGGACCAGTTCAGGTGAACTGGATGTTAAAGTTACATCTGGTTTGCCAAATCGGTATTTCAACTGACCGGCTGGCCCCACCCACCCCTCCCCTCTGCTCCCAGGAGTCTCCACGTGATACAGGTAAGTGCAGGGTCTGCGTGGAGGCTCTGGGAGGGAGAAAAATGGGCCTCAGGGAGCTTCCAGACCCTTGGGAGGGTGAAAACAGCTTCCCCTAAGCTCTGGACGCCCACCGGAAACCGGAAACAGGAAGTTCTGGTAGGCCAGGCCCATCATGGCCATGCCCACCCAGCAACCGGGCAGCGAACGGGTTGCTGGGATTTTTGAATCCCATCCCTGAATTGAAGTCCACAAAAGTTGAGAAGTTGAATAACCCTGCACCATGTGTGTTTCTCAACCTTAGCAACCAGAAGATGAGTGGACTTCAACTCCCAGAATTCAGGAGAGCTGCAATTTTGCTACTAATGAATCATTCTTATGGGAATATTTTTCCTTTCCAGTGAGAAATCCAGAGTGTTTTTCCCCGCACTGGCTTCTCTATTTACAAACTTGGATGAGATTTGAAAGGCTTTAGTAAACAGGGATGTGTGTATAATCCTATTTTAGGTATGGGTATTTTTTTTTCCTGCAGGATTGCACCTGTTATAAAAGTATCTCACTTATCATTGGCAGTTGCATCTCAAATTGTTGCAGGGATAAAATGCTTCCTGCATGTGTGCTCTGGAATAAATCATACAAAGTTAACTTTGAATTAAGAAGGTGCCTAAAGAGGCTTGGATTGAATGTGTTTTTATTGGGTTACTTATATATTATTTAGTATTTTTATGCCTTTGATTATAGAGCTTTCAGTGGATAAGATTGATTCTTTTAAGCTAATAGCCTTCCCATTGAGATTGTATGGATTTTCCCCCACACTACTTAGCCCCCATTCATTGACTGCAGAGAAACTGCATTAGCAGCTTTGCTTTTCAGTGTGTTTTTCATTTTATTTTTGTAGCTGTTCTTTATCAATCAAGTATTTATCTGAACACAACAACAATAGATTCTGAATAGATATATAGCTATTTATTCTTAGCAACTGAAAGTTTGCCATGCCTTAAAGCTTTCGTTGAACAACAATGGTAGCGGCTATCATATTGCCAAAGCTATAATGTGGTTAGTTTAGTTTTGGCTTAACTAACAATTATGGCTCAATAAACCATGGTTAAACATAATTTATTGAGGAAATGAACCAAGCCTTGTCTTCCTCAGACTACCCCAAATTGTTATGTCCAAGAAATTATTGGGAATTATGGAAATTGTGACCCCATAAATGTAGAAAGCTGATTTTGGTTCAACTATCACATAAAGGGTTGAACCGATTTGGTTGACTTTCTGTAGAAAGATGGTTAATTAAGATCGACCAGCAAATGGTTTCTCAAATTTGGGGAAAGGCATAGTGGAAATGCCTCTGCTTATTATTATTTTCTTCTGTTTTGCTATAATAGATGAATTGTTGGAAACCATCCATATTCATAATTCCAGCTAGTATTCTAGTCATAAATTGTTGGTTTGTTTCTTATTAAACTTGACATTGGGTAGCTTCTCTTCCTTTAAAAAGTAATAATAAAGACTCAGTGCAAAAAATAGCCACCACACCACTTTGATATATTCCATGTTTGTTTCCTGCCAAAGTGTGTACTGTTCATGGTTTCTTTTGCAATCTAAAAGAATTGGAATTGAAATATTCTTTGGCCAAGTGTGATTGGACAGACAAGGAATTTATGTCTGGTGTATAAGCTCTCAGTGTACATTTAAACAACAAAATTATAAATCATAAGAATACAACCAACAGTGTTACTCATAAGATACCAGTAGGAGTATCTTATGATACGAATGATACAGACAGCAAAATGGTGAACGAAGCAGAAGAGAATCATCCTCTGATATATTTTCATAGTATTTCCAAATGATCAACTGGAAGGATAGATTAAGGCAGGGGTGTCCAACACAAGGCCTGGGGGCCGGATCCAGTCCACAGGATGCTTAGTTTTGGCCCACAGCGAAGGACTGGCCTGTGGTGCCTCTGCCAGCAAAAACAGAGCTTGGGAGGGCCACGTGCATCCACCCTGAGTTCCGTTTTCACCGGCAGAGGGTTGCAGGAGGTCGGTGCAGCCAAAAGCGGAGCTCAGGAACCAGTTTTCATTGGCAGAGGGTTGCAGGCCAGCACAACCGAAAACAGAACTTGGGAGCCTCTTTTCATTGGCAGAGCGCTTGGACCACCACAGGTGCTCCTGACATGAATGATGTCAAGCTGGCCATGCTCACCCTGACCATGCCCACCCCAGCCTCCTGAGGTCAAACATAACCCTGATGTGGCCCTCAATCAAATCGACACCCCTGGTTTTGTTGTGGTTCGCTGGCAGCCGGTGAAGACGACAGAGGAATTGGACAGTGCAGAAGAACGGGGACCAATCAGGGAGTCTGGAGAGGACTCGGATGAGGGTCCTGCATCCGATGCAGAAATGGGGCCAGGACCAGGGAGTGGGGTGCTGCCTTTGGAGCCTTCGGAGTCTGGCAGCAGAGAGGCAGAAGACCCAGGGGAGCCTGTTCCTGGTGCGCGTGAAGGCAAGAGCAGCTGAAACAAAAGGGGCAACTCAGGAGTAAGGCTGGGAGGTGATTGCCCCCCCCTAAGGTATAAAAGTCAGGCCAAGATGATGAAACCTTTGCAGGAAGCAAAGTAGTTCAATCAGTTCAGATCCTTGAAGCTCTTTGTACTTCAGATGGGTTGTTTTTGTACTTCGGTTGGTTTCTTTTCTAGTTCATTTGATACTTCTGTTTTTGGCAGCACTTCACAGAACTGAAAGGTATGGCTTATCTTGGGGAACTGTTTGAGATTAATTCTGACTAGGAATGAAAACAATTGCCAGCGTTGCAATAAAATAAGTCTTCTTTTTAAAATATGTTTGTGTATGATTACGGTTTACAGAGCCTGGGTCAGAACAGGTTTAAGGAGATATGTTCAGGGAGCGGGAGGAGCCAATTGGTCTGACCCAGCCACTGAAAATGACCATGTTAATTGCCTGACATAAGCAGGTGGCCACGCATTGTGGGTTTCATTTCCTACATGAAATCTGTTAAGATTGATTTACTTAGTGAGGCACTGTCAAGCACACAAGATGGATCAGACCAGGAAACCAAAGTTATGAATACTAATACTAGGTTTATTATAGAGTTGCAGTACCAGAATATCGCACCTCTGAAAGTGCCTCTCCTTCCTTGTCTTTCTCTACAAGAGAACTAAGGAAGGTCAAGCCTGAGATGTTTTCACAAATTATATTTCTACACTGGAGTTACATTTTTAAAAGACATGCAGAACAGTTGCAGGGGTTGGGTTTGTCTCTAGCCTAGCGAAAAGAAGGACTAAGGATGATATGATAGCAGTGTTTCAATATTTGAGGGACTGCCACAAAGAAGAGGAGGACAATATATTGTCCAAAGCACCAAAAGGCAAGACAAGAAACAATGGATGGAAATTAATTAAGAAGAGTACCAACCTAGAACTAAGAAATTTCCTAGTAGTGAGAACAATTAACCAATGGAATGACTTGCCTTCAGAAGTTGTGCTCCTTCTCTGGAGGCTTTAAAAAATATTGGACAGTCACAATATTCCTACTGTCTGGAACAGTATAGGGTCTCCTGCTGAACAGGGGTTAGAAGATTAACTAGAAGACCTCCAAAATCACTTCCAACTCTTTTAATCTGAAATGCTGAATTTTTCTTTTTCTTTTTCCTTTGTTTTGGTTGCAACCCTTCTTCCTGCACTTCAACATTCTTCTCACAGCCCATTACAGGCATCATTCTGTTCAGGATATTCCCATTTGTTTTACCTCCCACACATTTTTCTCTGTTCTAGCTTCTATTTCTTACACCTTCAAAATTCATTCAGTATTCCACATAACTTGAAATATACTGTTTCAATTGGCAATTTTGAGTAGTTCACGATGCTCTTCTCCTGAAGACTTTTTCTTTAACATTTGGAGTCAAGTTTTACTTCCCTAGCATTGAGAAAACTGTGCATGAAAAAGCATGCACATCCAGCCAGGTTCTTGTTTTTTTTTTTAATTTTACATAATTACAACCTCATCTAGGTATCTTTAGATTGCCACCATATGGTGCCCTGGCTGTAACATCTCTGCAGGTATTTTAGTTTGGTAAAGGCAAATAAGCAATAATTGTTCATGGGGGCTGCAAAAATAGAATGTAATATGATGGAAACACAAAACAGGAATCTGTTTAACAGGATGCTATGCTTGGAAATTCCATCTATTAGAATTATAGAGATGAGTTGTGGATGCCAGCTGATTATCGGAAAGGAAAGGAAAACCTATTGCTGTATGCAGTTAATGCTCTTCATCTTTTACAATTATATTTGGCGTTGTACCTCCCTTGTCTTTCTGTAGTTTAGGGTACAGATATTTTGGGGGTGGGCATAAAATGAACATACTTGGTATGAGTACCAAGAATTGCATCACAAATGTTGAGTAAGGATAATGTCAACTCTGAAGTTAACCTGGCTGAAGCCATCTTTTGCTGCCTCACAGTTACCATGATCCCTGAGAGGGGGAAAGTAGATAGACTGGCTAACAGTCAAAACAGAAAGTTTTTCTTGTGGGAACCAAGGTCATCTCAACAGGTGGCAGTTGAAGGAGGAGAGGAAGGACCAAGCAGCCTGCAAGCTACTTTCATTGGATAATGTGATCAGTGACATCTGGGAGGGGGAATATTTGCTCTTTTAATTAGGTGAAAACCTTGGGAACTTTTAGAGTTGGTTTTCACCAGCTGTGCCAGTAAGATGTATCCAATAAACATCTTCTTTGAGGAATCTATCTGCCTCGGAGTTACTTGGAATGCTGACAGATTGCCGTGACTCTATGTCTCCTCCATTGATTCGTGACAGACTGTGTCTATGCTTCCCAATCTTGTTTTGGTGTGCAGTGGGGACCCACTCGTACTCTGGCATTGTTGGGATGTCGAGGTGCCTCATGCCTGTGTGGGACTGCTGTTGGGCACTAGTGTTCTTCAGTGTTTCAGTTCCGACTGTGCAGAATGGCTGGCTTTCACTGGAGGCACCGGATGATGACGCGATACAACTCATGGGCGGCATACAACCCATGGGTGGCATACAGACCATGGGCGAAAATCCGGATGGGACTCGAAGGGCATGGCACTGTTAAATGCAGCATAAGTCCAAATGCTAGGGGTGACGGGTTGGTGGTGGTTTGGTGACATTTATGGTGATTATGGTTTGCGGTGATTATGGTGTTAATAAGATAATGTAAACTGACCTACTACATTAATAGTAACTCCGGATGTTGGTGGGGCGATGATAGCTGGATGGCGGCTGGGGTAATGGGATAATTATGTAATTGTAACATACAGTATAAATACAGCTTTAGAGTGA